GGAAAACCAAGACCCATTCAAGGTCACCTTCAAATAAAGGGGCTCATGTCTGGCAAACAATACTAATATTTCAGTGTTCCTACAAGAAGTGAGAAAAAAAGGTACTTTTAATCCACAGACACGTCCACAATAATCAGCTATTGTGGAATCATGCTAATTTAAAGTGTATGAAGTGTTGAAATATTGCAGCCTACCTAAGATCTCTGGTGCCCCCCTTAGGTTGTGAATCAAACAAATAGCTTTCACTCCTGTAGTTTTTGGATTTCTTCAAAGTTATGCTTGACATTTCATTCATCAAACTCGCATCATGTTTCTTGTGCTCATGGAGAGTTAGAAGCAGAGTCATCCATGGTATTTGTCAATTCTTTGAACTGTGGTCCACTGACAGGATAATCGCAGCTAGAGTCTCTTTTTCAATGTGGTGCTAAAATAGACTTGTTTTCCTCTTTGATGGTTCCACCTGTGACCTGAACCAGCCCTGTGTATCAGATATCTGATGGCTACAACACCTTAAAAAAGACCGTACATGCTGATCTACAGCAACTGAGGGGACTTCCTTGTTTAGATCAGCATATTGCAGTACATGTTTCAGGTTTCATGGCTTTAAATATGGGGATTTATATTTATAATGGTGTACTTCAAGTGTCATTAAAGGGAAGGCAAGTGTATTTGTATTGCACCATTCATACACAAGGCAATTCAAAGTGCTTTACAGATGCAAGTAAATAAATTGGACATGAAAAAAAAAAAGATTAAAATCAATAAGACAATCAGATAAATGTTTTCGTCTGTCCTAATTATTTATGAAAACCGTTGTTTCCCAGAAAGAGAAATAAGTTGCAAGCTTTCAGATCCAACACTTTACCTGTTCTTCCCATTTCATGAGTTAGGTCCCAATTTGATTTTTATTCTCCTGAGAAACATGGAACAGAGGAAGCATTTGTCAGCTTAAAATCAATAATAACAAAATCAATATTGAAATGTAAATTAAAAACTTTAAAAATTTTGAAAATGACAGAACAGCAGATATCAAGGTAAAAGAAATTGTTGCTATAGGAGAGCTGCAGTAAACAGTAATAGTTTTCAGGCCTGACTTAAATGAGCTGGCAGTTTGAGCGCACCGAAGGTGTTCAGGGAGTTTGTTACACGGGTAAGGACTATAGAGGCTGAATGCAGCTTCACCCTGCTTGGTTCTGACCTTGGATGCTTCATACCCAACCAGCAGCTCTGACATGTATCTAGGCCCAGGACCATTCAGTGATTTGTAGACCAGTAACAAGGTTTTAAACTCTATCCTTGGACTCACAGGGAGCCAGTGCAGGGACTTAAGAACAGGTGTGATAAGGTCCATGTTCCTGACTACACCCAGGTTTCTGGCTTGGTCTGTGGTTTTTGGCGTCATTGAGTGAAGTTGGCCCCTGACTTCAAGCCTTGCATCTTTGGGACCAAAAACAATGACCTCTGTCTTTTCTGCATTGAGCTGGAGAAAGTTCTGGGCCATCCACTGATTGATTTTGTTGGATACATTCAATCAGCGACTGTAATGCTGTGATGACGCTCGGCTCAAACAGCGTATCCCCCGGGTGAGCTACGCAATCCCTGAATGCTCATAGGCTGTATCAGGTGTCAATCAAAGAAAACTTGAACCCCCTAATAACTTTTAAAAATGGAGCGTCACAGAAAAAAGAGAAGTTGAGCACAAACCAGTTTTATTGTAACTACATGTCAACTCCACAAGCAGGGGGGAGAAAAATGTATGTTCTGTGTAATAAATTTATGAAGTTTGTCCACAGCCCCATAAGCTTTGCTGGCGGAGGCGGGATTTATGACCTATACTGCAGCCCATCAACAGAGGATGCTGTTCTCGGAGTGGCTTCACCCAGCGAGGAGGCAGACGCTGTCCATTCTATAAACAGTCTATGGTTGAAGAAGATGTTATGATACTCCATGATCTGTGCTAGTGGGAACATATGAATATTAAACAAAAGTGGCCAGAGTATGGAGCCCTGGGGGACCCCACATGTTATCTTTATTCACTCAGATTCACAACTACCTAGCGAGACAAAAGTCATGATCTTCTAAATAAGATTTGAGCCAATTTAGCACTGTACTAGAAAGTCTGACCCACTTTTCCAGCCTGTCGAGCGACATGTTGTGATCAACTGTGTCAAATGTAGCAATAAGATCCAGAAGTACCAATACCGAAGTTTTTGATGCATCAATATTAAGACGTATGTCATTTAACACCTTATGGAGGAATATTCCAGCATTAAATTAACTTAGGAACAAACACACCGTAGCACCGAGTTAGACATGAATATTGCTGACGGCTTACTTCTCTAGTTATAGCAACTTAAGTAAGGACCGCATGATAGCAATACACAGCAGTCTACGGAGCCAACCACAAACCTCAACCAAAAAGCCACTCTACAGCCACAAATAATGCTCAACTTCATCAACAGTACATATAGGGTCCCAGCCATAGTGCTAGCCATAAAACATCATTTTAGCTTTGCCTTGTTTCTTTTGCAAAAAGACTAAACACAAATCACCTACTCTCCTCCAGCAGCCGCTTATGTGTGTGGGGAGCCTTGACGAGTCCATCCCAGAGTGCAGCAGAGTTCTGCACCTCAAAGGAAGAACATTTATGATTGTTACTTCATGGAAATGCAATCTTGTTCTTGTGTATCTTATGTCAGTTTATAACTGTTATTGTCCAGTGCTTGCCAGGAAATGAGCACAGATAAGCATTTTTAACTTTACGTATTTGCAGGGGAAATTCACATAAACAAATGCAAGATTTTACAAACGCGATTGTTTATCTCATAAAGAGTGAAGAGATAGCACAAAGGTGAAGAAGGGAAGTTAAAAATGCAATGCTCATCTGCTGTACTCTTGAAGTTAGGTGCTGTTCTGAGCATTATTTAAGGCTATAGAGTGGCTTTTTGGTTGAGGTTTGTTTATGGCTCCTCAGACCACAGTGTATTGCTATTGTGTAGTCGTTACTAAAGTTGGTATAACTAGACAAGCAAGCAGTCAGCAACATCCATCTCTCGAGGGGGTATCTAACTCGGTGTTACCATGTGTTTGACCCTAGTTTAATTTTATGCTAGAATATCCCTTTAATAAGTGCAGTTTCAGTGCTGTGGTCGAAAACCAGAATGAAAAATATTAAAGAGATTGCTCTGGGTCAAGAAAGAGTGCATTTGTTGGAAAACAACTTTTTCAATGATCTTTGATAGAAATGCAAGGTTTGATATGGGTCTGTAGTTACTTAGTACTAAAGCATTCAGATTAGGCTTTTTTAAAAGCGGTTTAATTTAATTCCAGATTAAGCCTTTAAATGATATTTCTTTATTTTGGAAAGTTATTTTTGAAATACACTACAGGCCAAAAGTTTGGAAGCAAGATCAGATTTGTACAAAAAAAGATCATAGTTTCATATATATAATTTGCAACACAATAAAAATGACTATTGTGTAAAGAGTAACTTATCAGAAGACGTTTTGACTATAATTATTAGGTATTTGAGTTATTGTCGCTTAGACTTTGCCTTCTTTAAAGTAACCTCCTCTGGCTTTCACAACAGCTTGGCATATACCAGGCATTCGTTCCACAAGTTTTTTAAGGTATGTTCCAGGGATTGCATTCCAAGCTTTCTTAAGTTCATTAAAAAGAGACTGCTGATTCGTGGGACGTGACTTTTTGACCGATCAATCCAATTCATCCTGCACAAGCTCAATTGGAGTAAGGTCTGGAGACTGAGGGGGCCAAACCATCTTTGAAGAACATCTTCCTCTTCTTTTTTGTCTAGGTAACCCTGACAGAGCTTGGCAGAGTGCTTAGGGTCATTGTCTTGCTGCAAAACAAACTTATGAGCCACAAGTCTAAGTCCAGATGGAACAGCATGGTGCTGGAGGATGGAGTGGTACTGTTCCTTCTTCATGATACCCTTTACCTCAAACAAATCTCTTACTCCATCACCTGCAAAACATCCCAATACCATGGAACTACCACCTCCATACTGAATTGTGGGTGTAACACATGGGGCTCTATTTTCGTGTACGCCGGTGAGGCGGCGGAGGGTGGCGGACCCCGCGCAGTTGTATTTTCGTCTGGCGGAGCCCGGTGTACAGCCAGTTTGGTATTTTTGTGGACTGAGGCACACCGAGATCCGCCAAGCTGGGTGTGGTGGCGTGGCAGGGGGAGGTGTCGACAGAATCAGAGCGCGCAGTGACATTTTCGTGCTCGCCGGTGGCGTATAAAGTGCGCTGAAAGCTCGCTGATTCAAACCTGGTCAGCTTTCAGCACAGGCAAAGCGCAGCTGGTCTATTAGTATTTTGGTAGACCGGCGGCGTATCGGCATACGTCACTGATACCTCACTGACTGGTTTCCACAGTGTCAGGCACATTTCAGTGCAATAAATAATCAACAACAACTAATAATCTGAGTCAGCACATACATTTAGATCTATATAGATATATTCTGATCTATATATTATCTGATGAGCGCGTTTGGCACGCATTTGGACACACAACCTGACCGAATCAACACAGCTGAAACCGCATTAAATTAAATTAAATTAAATTAAATATCTAGTAAATAGACACACATGATGAAGTTAACAAGATATGTAATTTGTCTCCCTCTTTTTCTTTCTTCCTCCTCCTCTTATTTCTCGCGCAGCTCGACCTGGACATGTCTCCATGTCCTCTCCCCGTCCTGCTGCAGGCTGAACAGATGATTTGTTTCAGTGATCAGATGAGTTATTTACTTCAGCCCACATACGAATATTATAATATTCAGTTCAGTCAGGTACACTTTGTCAAAAATTTTTGCTTTATTGTGCAAGTTAAATTTAATTTAATTAAACATGATTCTGTTCCGGGTCCCTGCCCTTCCACACGCTTGCGTGGAAGCCCGAGGCAGGAAGAGCCCCTTCCTGCCCATCATGAGCCATCATGAAAGGCGATAGCAGGGAGCGCATGCAAGGTTCTGTTCAGGGCCCCCGTTCTCCACGTTGGCATGGGTGAAAGGCCAGCGGCAGGAATTGCCCCTTCCTGCCATCCACGAGCCATCATGAAGGCGGAGGCGGCGGGGGCAGAGCAGCGATGAACAGAACCCCCCCGAACAGGAGCGCATCAAGGGTAGCGGAGCAATTAGCTGGCACAAGGGTGGAGCTGGGGTGGCGGTGGGTTGCTGGTTAGCTGTCAGAGCAGAGGAAGAGGCTGGGTTAGTGCACTTTAAAATAAGGCGCTCTATAGGCAAAGGACCAATAGGAGCTAGGAGTGAATCAGCTGGTTATCATCTGGTTGAGGTGGCTACTAGCCTTTGGCTGCAGATCAGATCAGAAGTTAAATTTGGCGGCATGATTCTGTTCCGGGTCCCTGCCCTTCCTTCACACTGTGATAAGAAGCTGATAATCACAGGTAGATAATCACAGATAACCGGCATAACTTTGTTCTCATTCATCCTCGCAGCGCCTCAGCGCTTCACACAGCTGGACACTCAGCGTCTGCTGACTTCAATGTGGAAGCTCAAAGTGGGTTGTTCCAGCAGCGAAACTAGACTCTCATTGGATAAATGCTGGGCTTTGTCCTGCCAATCGGACGCTCAGCATCTCTGGGGTTCTATGACGAGAAGGCGGTCCCAACTTTCTCGCGGACGCTGAGCTTCTGCATCGATGATTGGATGTGCTGTCTGAGGCGAAATCCTTTTTTGATTGACAGCTAAATAAGCGAATCAGCGATCTTGAAGAATAAAACATCTACCAGAGCATTTTCCAAGTTATTCATTCCGTTGTTCTTAACTGCTCTGGAGACTTTACCGATCCTCAGCGACTTTTGTCTTTGTTAAAAACGACTGCCGTTGTGTTTGGCGACTCTGTTCTGTTACATACAAATAAACAAACACAATTATGATGTAGGCCAGAAAAAGAAGAAGCTTCCCCTCCTTGAAAGACCAGCAGCCGCCACTGTCTAGAATGTTCTGAGCCTCGGGGCGCAGATAGCGTTCGTACGCGGCAGACCATCGGCCCATGGCTTTGAGGGTGGACACTGGAGCCGTCATAGCTGCGGTTGTAGCTGCGCCTATGCAAAAAGGATGAGCCGTGTAGCGATCTGGAGGAAGTCCGCAGGACTGGCAGAGGAGGCGGAGGCGGGTAGCAAACCAGGCTTTGGTCATGGGTTCCCCTTTCTCCGTGGCAAACAGCGGCTCGTGCTGGCTTGCTCGGGGACGGCTTTTCAGGTAGCGGGTCATGGAAGCAAACGGACAGAAAGGAGAATTAGTTTGAGCTATGAGAACAGTGGTCCCTTTCCTGTCTCTATCTGTCTTGGAATGTTTAAGAAAGACACTGAAATTGTGACTGTGGACTGTAACGTCGGCTATGGAGAGGTCGTGAGACGGGTCGAAACGTTTAGTGTGAGTAGTAAATTCTCCACCTCTAAGGAAACCATAAAAAGCTGTGAGAAAGACTGTTTCCAAAAGTAAGTCTGAATATGGCCCAAAACACCCTTTTTTCAAATGCGTGATTAATTTATGCAAGAGAGGTAATGTGAAAGGAAGACGGATATCTTGGCCTTTGGGTTTCTCTTTCTTAAATCCGTTCAGCAGGAGCTGGATTGAAGGGCTTCCAAGCAGGCTGCCGGCAGATGGATCCAAACACCGCAGGTGGAACTGTACTCCTGCTAAAAGGCCTTTGATAGAAGAAGGTTGCATCTTCCGAGACTCAAAGCAGTGGACCAAGAAAGCGCATACAATAGAAATTTTTATGGGAAACATAGGAACAGAGTAGGTGAAACAGAATGATGAGAAATAGGACCATGCAGAGTCATACACTTTTAATGTTGATTTGGCTAGTCCGGATCTCATGTATCGGGAGGCTGAATGCATGTATGATTGCAGGGTAGAGTCCAGTCCAGAACGGTCTGATTGAAAGGAGGGCAGGGAAGGCCGGAAAGAGCTGCCTCTGGACATATTTTTCGGAATTTCTGAAATTCAAATCGAGACAGGGCATCAGCAATCTTGTTGTCTAAACCTGGAATGTGAGCTGCTCGAATGATAAAATTACGTAGGACTGAAACCCAAGTCAGGCGTCTTAAAAACCTATTAATAAAGGGTATGGAGGAACGCCCTTTGTTAATGATATGGACAGCTGCTTCATTGTCACAGAAAATGGTAATTTGTTTCCTTGCCCAGTGTTTACCCCAGAGTAGGCATGCGATGACTATTGGATAAATTTCCATTAGGGCTGAAGAGGTGACGTTGCTTAGCAAAGATGACAATTCTTTTGGCCATTTGTCGGCAAACCACTGGTTGTTATAGAACCCCCCAAAACCAATGGAAGGGGCTGCATCAGTGAACAAACAGATTTTCAGGGATGACTCAGAGCAATCATTGTAAAAAAATGAAATACCATTCCATTTCTCGAGTAAAAGGGACCAGAATCGGAGTTCTGATCTGCATCCTTCGTCTAGTGTAATGGGCGCGGCTAAATGGCTGGCGGTTTTTTGTTATGTCGAGAGGCCTGGATATGAAAGAGCGGCCCTGGGGGATAACTCGCATGGCAAAATTTAAATGGCCGAGGAGGGCGAGCAAGTCTCTTTTTGATATTGTTTTAGAATATTGCACTTTCATGATCTCTCTGATACAAGTTAATTTGTTAATGGGTAGGGAAGCCTGCATTAAGTTGCTATCTAGCACGATACCTAGGAATTCTATGGATTGGAGAGGACCAGAAGTTTTTTCCTTGGATAATGGCACCCCTAAGGTAGCGAAGGCAGATTTGAGTGTGGAAATAGCATGGTCAGGCTTGGCATTGGGAAAATTCATTAGCAGAAAATCATCGAGCAAGTGGAGCACAAATGGAAGCCTGCAGCTGTTCAGCAGAATCCAGCAGAGGGCCTCTGACAGCGTGTCAAAGATCTTGGGTCTGTTGTGGCACCCGAAAGTGAGTCTAACTGCAAAGTACAGTTTTTCTTTCCATTTGGAGCTGAAGAGATGCCACTGAGAGGAGTGTAGGGGCATAACTTTAAAAGCGTCGGTGATGTCTGCTTTAGACAGCCATGTGCCCCTGCCTGCTTTTTTAATAAGCTTGATGGCATCGTCAATTGAGGACTAAAACAGAGAGAATGGTGGCAGAGATATAAGGCTATTGATGCTGTTTACTGAATCGTTGTGAGGGGCTGATAAGTCTATGATCAAGCGCTTATCCGGAGTATTTTCGAGTGGCTATGCCGAGGGGGTTAATGCGTGTTATAGGAAATGGTGAATTGATGAACGGACCTATCATAAAACCTTTTCTAACTTCCCTCTCTAGTAGAGTGTCGACTATCTCGGGCACCTTTAAAGCGGATTGTAAGTTATTACACACATGAGACACATTAGGTAACCATGCCAGACCGGCCAAAAAACCTTGAATGAGTCCAGTTATTAAGTAATTGACAAAGCATCGGTTGGGGTGCTTTTGCAAAGCCGTCTTTATCTCAGGCACGTTGATAGGGGTTGATGGTTTTATTGTTTCTTCACAAGGCAGGATCGTCTTGGGCATACAGATCTGGGGTGCCCGTCCCCGCAAAAGCTTGGTCTCGTATCCAAGGTCTCTAGGTGGTTTTGCAATAGCCACGGATTTCGGGCATAAATTAGAGGAGTGGGAAAAAGAGCTGCATATAGAGCAGGAGAGAGCCTGACGGCCGGTACAGTGCCTGCTAATCAGGGCCAGATCTACAATGGACCAGTCTACTCTTTGGTTAAATCTCTGGATGAACATAGCAGCTTTGGCAGAAAACGATTCATGATATTCATAGAGTTCCACCATAAGTCATGGCGAGATCAGCGATGATGGCGAGGTATGTGTCCAATTCGGCTCTACGGGATGGATAGACTTCGCAGATGACGTCCCTAGAAATGCTATAAGCCACTGTGAATTCCGCTAGAGTCAATGACTTGAAGAGTCTGGGATCGCTATCTTTCAGCAGAACAGAAATGTCTCAGCAGTCAACCACACGTTTATCGCTGACATCAGAGAACAGCAGGATCTTAACCAAATTAATGTCATTACCTGCCAGGATCTGGCTCCTGAGATTAGGAGAGATTGCAGCTGCAGGAGGATAGACGAGGACACCTGTGGTGATGGGAACTGCACTATCCAGGGTTCTTCGCGGGACAGTGACGTTGTTGTAGGGGACCGGGATGACGTCATCGAGCTGTGATGACGGGCCAGCGATGGGGGAGGTGGTGCGTATGTGGTCTTGGAAAGTTGGCGTTGTGGATTGAAACAGTGTTGGAGTTGAAACATTAGCCTCAAGGGTCTGGATCCTAGCGTTCATGGAAGAAAGGGAGGACTGGATGGACGAAAGGGCCGACATGATGTCGGCGTTCATCGAAGCTGGGAGGTTGTCCGTTGGAGCTGCGTGGCTGGCCGCCGGGGCCGTAATTTGCGCCCTTTTGTGCTTCTGGGCGGCGCCTTCTGCCGAGGCTGTACCGGAATTGCTGGTGGTATGTTTACGTTTTGCTGCGGCTTTTCGAGGAGCGGAAGGTGGAGGAGTGCTTGCAGGTGGACGCTGGGGCTCAGAGCAGCTCAGGAAAAGCCCGAACAATTCCTGGTGGGAGGCGCCGATCGGGGCGGGAATGATGTTCGTAAACAGGAACTGTAGCAATTTTGGGATCGGCCATTCGTTGATCGACGGATCCGACGTCTTCTTTCGTGCCAACCTGGAGCTTCTGCGGAGAGAGGAAGCTTCCTCCGGGCCGATCGCGTCCTCTGCATCGGACTTTTGAGGTGACTCGAAGATGTAGTCGAACTGCGGCTTGTCCTCGTCGTACGCTGAGGACATGGTCACAAGGAGCAACGAGGTAAGAAATAACACGAATGTTTTGGCAGGCATACAGAAGTTGCTGGTTAGCTATCAGAGCAGAGGAAGAGGCTGGGTTAGTGCATTTTAAAATAAGGCGCTCTATAGGCAAAGGACCAATAGGAGCTAGGAGTGAATCAGCTGGTTATCATCTGGTTGAGGTGGCTACTAGCCATTGGCTGCAGATCAGCGCTTGACATCGTGTCCTGACAGAACTAACGCTATGCTTCATTTCTGTGAGCCAAATTCATTTTATATGCCAACATCTATGAAAGAAAAGCCACAGAGCGCAATGCATCATTTACACACAGATGGTTCCGATTTTAATGCCATTTTCGGAATATATGATGTGATCTCTGTGCACAACCCACCTTTGTCACGTGAGGTTTGAATATGTGCAACTTTATGTGAGTGTCTTTATTTGTGGAAAGGGTGTTTGTCTTACCAGTGGGGCCAACATTACACACACCAAATCCATCTGTGCTCATATGAGAGAGTGTGAAGGACGCCTTCTGCAGCACTTACCGTGACACTTGTTGAGGAGCTGCCTTCTGTCGCCATCGCGTGGCATTGCTATCTTCAGACATCTCTTGATCTCTTTGACTACTTCACGAAAATTGTAATACGCCTCGCCGATGGCGGATTTAAAGGCGAGGAGAGGAGCTGATGTTATTGGTCAATACAGGTCTCGGCTGTGTTAGACCCACTCCATGCCCTCTCTCTCCCTTGCTACGACTTACGCTGCTGGGAGGAGCTGAGTGAGGGATGGGGGATACTTATGCCAGGCTGCGCCGCTCACCAAAATACCAAATTGTGCTTGGGAATGTCTTGTCGGCGCGGCGGACCTGACTTACGCTGTGCATGCGCCACGTCACCGGCGAGGCACGAAAATAGAGCCCATGGTGCTTTCAGACGTTCACCAGTTTGTCGGCGGACAGACTCTGTGTTTTGAACCAAACAGTGCAAACTTGTTTCTAGTCATCTTAAGTCCAATTTTTGTGAGCTTTTGCCCAATCATATCTCTTTTTCTTGTTCTGTGGACGAAGTAGTGTTTTTTTTGCAGATACACAACCCTTCAGACCAGCCTTTCTCAAATGTCATTTCACGGTTGTCAGAGATATGGGTTTCGACCTTGTCATGTTAATTTCCTCCCTTATTTTTGGTGCTGTCTTTCGCCGATCTCTCTTACTGGTGACAATGCTATGTTTATCCTCTGCTTTTGTAGTAACTCGCTTTTGTCCAGGTCTTTTCTATCACCATAACTTCCAGGTTCCTCTAGTCTCCTCAGAGTGTAGTGGACTCCTTTGTTAAACACCTTTAGGTGTTTTGCAATTTCTCTTTCTGTGTATCCTTCTTTCCTCAATATACAAATCTGTACTTTTGTTTCTTTACTCAGTTGCTTCTTTTTAGCCATTTTTGTGGTAGTTTGAATGCAGTTGAGATTTATTAGGATTTTTGTATGCAGACTCTCAGAAGCCAAAAAGTTGAAGTGAATAATCCAACTGTGATTTTTTTTTTTTTTTTTTTTGCTTTTGCACTGAAGTTGTGACTCTTGCAAATGTTTTCAACCCCAAAACTATGCCCATTTTTTCTTTTTCTGACATATATTTAGCAATGGTCTGTTAACATCAATGTATATCTAAAGGTAAATGGAGTGAAATGGTGCATTTCCATGAAAGCAACATCTGATCATCGAGTAAATACATCCCAAAATACATAAAACTCATGCTGGATTTTAAAAAAAGCATTGTGAACAAAAACTTACGAAGTTACTCCCAAGTTTAGCCTGTCATGGCCTTGCTTCCAAACTTTTGGCCTGTGGTGTAGTTTCGACTGGCCATCAAGCCTCTTTTCTAAGTCATCTGCATGATTTCAAAGTCACCTCTGAACGCCACACAGCAGGCCCAAAGTCTTCCTCTGTGCCAGAGTTTTGAGAGAGACCAAACGGGCATCCAAAGGATGTATAAGGCATTGGCCCGGGTGCTGCAACTCCTGGCCCATCTTTCGGCTGACTTCCGTTGTCTTCTGAGCTAAACCCCTCGAACCGTCGGTAGCCCGGAACTTCGGGACCTGCTCCATCCTCTCCAAGGACCAGCCTCACTTAAAGTATCCAAACCTCCAGAGCTCCAAACAGGGCTGATGCTGTCTCATCTCTCATCTGTGGTCATGACTCAGATATTCACTCATACTAGTAAGCCTAGATTCATCCACATCCAAATCCAAATTTATCTTTACACCAGAGTTAATGTAGGTTAATATGTTTGAGCATATTCACTCACTGTCATTAACTTTAGTGCTCCTAGCCTGACTATTCTTCCAGAAATAGAGTCCCTGAAATGAGAATTTCGGCTTGAGATATGAGATTGATTAATTTAAGATTGACATAATATTTGATTTGTGAATTAAACTTTTGTTTTTCTTTATTTTCCCACCATTATGGTTGGGTGGTGCCCCTTTCAACAAGTGCATAAATGTCCTAATTTAAGATTATTAATCCTCAGACATTTATTATAAATTCATATTGCTTCACTAAACACACTACTCAGCTAATGGAAAAACTGACATCTCCCTTCACTTGCAATCTTTGTGATGTCTGATAACGAGGATGTCACTTAAATCTGCAAGCAGCGCTCCAGATTTTGGTGCATAAGGAGGCTTCTTTCGTCTGTCTTGATGGCATTCATTGAAGAAAAGCTTGACTCACAAGTAAAGATAGAAGAACACATCAAGAGCGCAAAAAAGCCAAGTTACTTAATCCACCTGTACTCTTTTGCGCATGACATCCATAATCCTCCAAGGATTGCACACTGAGTGCATTGCTGACCAGGGAGCTTTTTGTTTTTTGCAGAACTTGAGCAGCTGGCCATGGTGATTTTCATCATTGAGAAAGAGGATCCTGTCTATCAGCCCAAAAAAATTAAGATTTTCATTGAAGGAAAAACAGTCCTGAAGGACTATTCACTTTCAGGATTTGTCACTTGATGACAACAGTTTTGTCTTTAATTTTGTGCTATAGTTTTTATAATGCTAAACAGAGACTTACGTTTTGTCAATTTAAAATAAATAAAAGTTTTAAAGGAGTACAGTATATTTGAGTAGTCTGATCAAATGTCAAGTGTTCAAATTGCAAGTTGTGAAACATTTGAAATAATTTCAATTAACATTTTTTAAATTGAGATACTTAAAACAATCAGTTTGCTCCAACTTAAAATGATTTGGATGGATTCAAAATATAAGGGATAATTGAATGCATTATTTATATTAAGTCAATAAAAGCATTATCATTTCTTAATTTAGCACAATTTAGAAAAAATGGTTTACCTCACTGTAATAATAATAGTTTGCATTTAATTAAAAAATATACCCTAATAGCAAAATACACTGATTTGATTTTGGTCAGATTGGTTATTTTTGGTTAAGGTGGACAAATCTGCATTGATTCAATACTTATTTAAGAGTTACCATTTCAATGTTTGAAAAACTTATGTTGAATCAATGTAGCAAAGATGATTATTTTTCAATGTTGAAATACCCTACAATGACACAGTGTTGTGTTGTTCCTGAATGATTCGTTCAAAAGAATGAATCTTTAAAGTGAACGTACTAACCCGAATCACTTCCTCAAGTGATGTTTGTTTCTCAGTTTAGTTGAGCTGTCAGCAGCACAGATGCCATAGCACGCAGCATGAGGGACCGTACGTGTTGACACCTGAATCACTTGGTGAACAAATTACTCAATGAATTACACTCTCCAGAAAAAATTTCGTCCGAGGGATACACTGACCATTGTTCCCCATTATTTCACCAGATTTAGTTCCCAATTTAACAAACTTAATATGTGAGGCTGGCAGTAATGAGAGGAGAGTGAGACTCATCAGCTGTAGCAAACTTTTGGCAGGAGCGACAGATGGAGATAGGGGGTGTGTTATGTTCAAGTGTACCTCAGAGAAAACACATATGTGTTGCCACATAACACATATGTATGGAAGAAAACATGATTAGCAGAGTGAAAAAAAAAATGTGTTGGAACGGTGCGTGGTCAGTGTGAATCCTTCACTGAATGTACTGTGGGGTATATGTTCAGTGAATCTTCTTCCCTGTTTCACTCCTCTCCCCAATTCCTGACACGTATCTGGCTGAAATGAACCTTTTCTGCTTTTTTGTGGCACTCTCTTCAGAGGCGTTCTCATCCCCCTATATACCGGGTGGAAACTTCTCAACAACATTAGTTCCGCCTAAATTCAACTGCATGCAAAAGAAGGAAAAAATGTATGGACACCAAAACCTTGATATGAATAACGATGAGAGGCAGTTAAAATAATATTGGAGGACCTGGCATACTTAACTTTTGATTATTGGGGACACATTTAATCCAGCACCGTTACTGAGATCCTGGATTAAAGCTGAACTTCGTTTCTAAAGTGTCAAGGTGATTAAAGGTCAGAAAAATATTTTACTCTATAATGCTGCACTGGATGAGTCCAGCGTTTGAGTTTGGCCCTATCATGCACCCGGAAATACACTCACCGGCCACTTTATTAGGTACACCATGCTAGTAATGGGTTGGACCCCCTTTTGCCTTCAGAACTGCCTCAATTCTTCGTGGCATAGATTCAACAAGGTGCTGGAAGCATTCCTCAGAGAGCTTGGTCCATATTGACATGATGGCATCACACAGTTGCCG